CCCCAAAACCCCAAAACCCCAAAACCCCTTTACACGAGTGAAAAATTGAGTCACAACTTCTTCTGTTTTCTATAGCCCTTCTACAGATCTAGAAGTCTGACATTCTGTTCATTAACCTTCTTAAGAGGTATCAAGGAGTTCTATGGCTTGTATAATCCTACACTTTTCTTATGGTAATTAAAGGCTTTGCCGTTCAAATCTGGCTCAAATTTCATATAGTTTGCAAGGGATTTAGGAATGGATGAGACATCATTCTTGGAATCATTCCTTTAAAATTTCTCTGTGTTGGAGTATTGATCCTACTTCTGACGCTCTATAAATGAAGAATGATCTGTTACACTCATTTTCCTGTGAAGGTCTTTTTGATAAAAGTGTTGTTAGGAAGATGAGTTCTTTGAAGTTTCCTCGTACTTGTATTCTTTATTGTTGAATTTTGTTCCTTATCATCTTTAATTTTGGGCAAATTTTGAGAAGCCCATCTTACGTATCCTTAATTCCCAATACTGGTCAAGGCTTTAGAGTTGAATCTTGAGATTAATTTCTCTAAGAACTTCTGTGTTTAATAGACAACACTCTTATTTTGAGTATAAGGAACCATATTGATTGAAAATCTGGTTGCTTCAATTCATTTAGATTTTCCTAATTCTCCTCATATAAATCCTTTTAAAGCTTCTCTTTTTCTTAGTTTTGGCGATTTTATCTAAAATTTGGCTAAACTTAGTGTTGCTTTTTATCAATAGCTTCAAGGATATAGTATTTAGAAGATTCTTTATAAGTTCCAAAAGTCTCTCCTTTATGATTCTCAAGGTCTTATATCATCAGATATAGGGTCAAAACCCATTTGCTTTTTGTTGCTTTAATAGTTTGGTGAAGAACAGTGTCTTCATCAATAGAGTGCTGATAGTCGACATCAATGTTACTGTCAAAAATAGCAACTTTTAATTTGCCAACAAGTATGAGTTTTGCCGAAAGAAAAAGCCAACAAACCTTGGTCTCATAATTGAAGATTGCATTGAATTGCTTATTATTATCTCTCTCGTTGGGCTTAATTGTTTTCTCGATCATCTTCAGGAAAATTCTTATGCTAAAACTAAGGGCTACTCAGTTTAAAGCAGTTTCATCATTTCTATAGCCGATAAATAAATCTGCTCCTTTGAATATTAGAAATTTCTATACATCTATTTGTGCATGTAAACAAGCAATCAGTAAAGAGACTATTCTGAGTTATCTCATTTTTCATTGATATTAATTTCTTCACACTTAAATATGCTATAAATATACCCGATATTTCTGTCCCTGTAGGCTAGGAAGAGTTCAAAAATATTATTCAGAGCTTTTATGTAAGGATCTGTTCCATTTTCAAACAGAATTTTTAAGACTTCTTTACTTCCTGCTCCTCAAGTATACATGAAAGGAGTAAGGCAGTTATCTCTTTGTTTATTCATCATTCATAGCTCTACGCTACTCACCATATATTCAACAACACTATGATACTTGTTCTTAAAAACAAGGCATAGAGGAGAACTTTTGAAATCTTCAATCAGTGGTATCTTCGCTCACATCCGTATAGGACCTTAAATATTGAAAGATGTCTATACTCGGCATCATAATTAATGGATCTCACATGAACATTCTTATCATTATGCTTCTCCCCAGGCTTGCACCTATCATTTGAACTATCCCAATACTACACTTAAGAATCAGGCTAAATTTTCCTTTAGTTTTGTGGTAATATCTTATAAAATCTTTGATAATTCTCAAGTTTAAGTCAATTGGATTCTATAAAAATTATGACCTCGAGCTTAGAATTTTGGATTTTTTAGTCTGACTCATTTTTCTGGCAAAGATGAGACTGCTAGGGCCAAGAGCTATCCGAAATGACTGAGGTGTAAATTGGAGATAAGGTATTCGAGGATTCATTAAATTATATAGCTATTAGTATTTTCTACTGTGCCTAGGAATATATAGCCAAAGAGATTATGCATTACCTGTTTTGTGGTTAATCTTTTCTGTAAGTCTAGCATACTACTAGTATATATATTTCTATATTTTATTGGAAAAAAGGGGTTTTGGGGTTTTGGGGTTTTGGGG